GTTTATTCTAGAAAAGAGAAGACTCAAATAATCTAGTACTTGTCTCCAACTTCCTGAATTGCTATGTTGAGGAAGGAAAGTAACGTTCAGTTTGTCTGGTCTTAGGTAGAGTATAGAACTAGGATTTATGGAAGACACAAGGAAGCAGGTTTCAATCCTTCATAGTGGCCTAAAATTAAAGTAGGCTTCATTGCAAGGTATAAAGGTAGGGTGTGTATGTCTGTGTGTATTTTAGTTTCAGTAGGCTCAAATGGAGACCGAGAGATCACTGGGTATGGATTTTGTAAAGATTAATGCATTGAGTAGAATGTTGAATAGCATGATTATTATGGTTCTTTTCTGACTCTCTCTGTTTCTTTGAAATCCTCAACCTTGAAATGTTAAAAAAAAAAAAAAAAAAAAAAAAAAAGGTGGGGTGGTGGTGGTGGATATACAGTCAAGTTCAAATCTTATGCCTGAAAGGAGAAATTTAAAAAAGTCAATTGGTTTGTTCAGTCTTGCTGCAGGATGATCAGATTTAAGCTATCTGCAATGAGTCATAATTGTTCTGAGTTTAAGAATGTGTAAAGTGGCTAGTAAAGCTTAATTTTTTTTTTTGCGGTACGCGGGCCTCTCCCTGCTGTGGCCTCTCCCGTTGCGGAGCACAGGCTCCGGACGCGCAGGCTCAGCGGCCATGGCTCACGGGCCCAGCCGCTCCGCGGCACGTGGGATCTTCCCGGACCGGGGCACGAACCCGTGTCCCCTGCATCGGCAGGCGGACTCAACCACTGCGCCACCAGGGAAGCCCTAAAGCTTAATTTAACTGTAAATTAAAATTTGAGTAAGTAGGAAGGGTCCTGTGATTTAAAACTTAAAATGAATAAAGTGATATAGGTTGAAAGATCTTTTTCATCCTTATTTTCCATCTGTCCAGTGTCCAAGGCCATCCTTCTTCCATAGTTTGTCCGTATATGGAAGCAAATACATGTTCTGATTTTTGTCCCTTTTCTGTGGAAGTGGTGGCTTATTTTAAATACTGTTCTCTACTGTTTCCTTCCCCAAGATATTTTGAGGATATTTTCACATCAGTACATAAGAGAACTTTGTCATACTTTTTTATAAAGCTAATAGTATTACCACGGTTTGGATGTAGTATTATTTACTCCTTTATTTATGAAAAGTTAGGTGGTCGGCATTTTTTTGTTTTGTTTTTTGCTAATGTGGGGCTTGAGGGGTGGGAAGTGCCACTGTGCAGAGCTGAAATTGATTAGAGTTAACTGCAGTTTCCAGTCAAGCCTCCCCTTTCATGTTGCAAGCCTTTAAGTATACTCCAGAGTTCCAAAATATTTACATCAGATACGTACTGTGGATGCAGCTGTTGTCTAGGGTGGGAGACAGATTTCTTTTTTTTTTTTTTTAATTTTATTTATTTATTTATCTTTGGCTGTGTTGGGTCTTCGTTTCTGTGCGAGGGCTTTCTCTAGTTGCGGCAAGCGGGGGCCACTCTTCATTGCGGTGCGTGGGCCTCTCACTGTCGCGGCCGCTCTTGTTGCGGAGCACAGGTTCCAGACGCGCAGGCTCAGTAATTGTGGCTCACGGGCCCAGTTGCTCTGCGCCATGTGGAATCCTCCCAGACCAGGGTTCGAACCTGTGTCCCCTGCCTTGGCAGGCAGACTCTCAACCACTGTGCCACCAGGGAAGCCCCCGGGAGACAGATTTCTGGTGCTTCCTGCTCCACCATCTTCCCAGGAGCCTTCTGCTCTCAGGTAGACTTCATTTGGAAAAGAAAAATGTAAAGTAAGTTAGGCATGTTTTCATAGCTTGAGTCATTTCTCTGAGTGCATCCATGTTGTCTGTCTTTCTGTTGGCTTATAGGTTAAACTTGTCAATTTCTAGGATCTATATGTTTGAAAACTAGCTCTTTAGGGTATGAGTTGCAAGTGTTGTTTTTGTTTTTTTCTGGTAAGTCTTTTTTTCCAGTGATTTTATTTATGGTATGTTTTGCCATGCTAAATTTATTTATTTAAAAAAGGATATATTTGACATAACATTGTATAAGTTTAAGGAGTATAATGTGATGATTTGATACACATATTGCAAAATGATTACTACAATACTAAATTTATTTTTAATGTTTAGGCAGCTAAATTTATGACCTGTAGATGCTGATTCATGCTTAAAAAGATCTTTCTCATACCCGTGTTTAAAGGAATTCTCCCATTTCTTCTAATACCTTTACGGTTTGGTCTTTTTTTAATTAGAAGTTTTAATTCATTTGGGCTGTAACCATGTGTTATGGTCCAACTTAATATTTTTCTCCATAGCTACCCAGTTATTCTAACATCATTGATTGAAGAAGCCATCTTTTACTACTGATTTGAGGTGCATTAAAGGTATTTTATAGTACACTTCTGGTTGTATTTGGATCTATTTCTTGGGTCTATTACATTGGTCTCTATCTGTTGATGTATAGCATAGTTTATTTTGATAATGCCAATAGCTTTTAGGAAATTCTTTCTGACTGCTTTCCCACTGCTAGATTCTAAATTGCCTTTTTTCCTTCCTGTCTCTTTTATGTAGAATTGTAGACCTTTTCTCTGTACTAATAGAGTATCCATTTATTGACTGTTTGTATATCGTTATGATATGGCTGTCATTTTATGTCTTAAATGTAACTGCAGTAATTTTTATTCATAAAAAAGTTGAAGCCTGGGCTTCCCTGGTGGTGCAGTGGTTGAGAGTCCGCCTGCTGATGCGGGGGACACGGGTTCGTGCCCCGGTCCAGGAAGATCCCACATGCCGTGGAACGGCTGGGCCCGTGAGCCATGGCCACTTAGCCTGCGCATCTGGAGCCTGCGCGTCCGGAGCCTGTGCTCCGCGACGGGAGAGGCCACAACAGTGAGAGGCCCGCGGACCGCAAAAAAAAAAAAAAAGTTGAAGCCTGATACTTAGCCACGTGCCTCTGGCATGTTTTGTGAACTACACCACCGTTGTTAGAGTTTCCAAGAAGATGGTTTGTGCACATCTCCTTCTCTTGATTCATATGCTTGAATTTTCCACACCATAATCACCAAAACATAGCTCACTGCCACAATGGCTGGGCTTAAACACTGGCAAACTAGAAATTGAAAAGATTTAGAGGAGTTCTTAAAGAACAAAATGCCTCTGAAAGAAGAAAATTGAAGGAAGATATCCCTAGGTTCTAGTTTTTGAACAATATTTATTTATCGAATGAGGGAGTTGGGACAAATGATCATTAATGTCCCCTCCAGGTCATTGTTATTCCCCCGTGTACATTTCCATATACATTATTTTACCTGGACAGTTGGTTTGCAAGTTGAAGCCCTTCTTGGCGGTTCCCAGGGCTTGGCAACTAGAGTGCTCTCAGCCGTTTCATTCTCAGCAGTTGCTGTGCTCCTTTCATCTGGTCCCTTTTGTGAACCATGTTTAGAGCTGAAGGCATGGGCTTAATTTGCCTTGCTAGTACACATACACGAAAGGTTCCTGCTTTCATTCTCTCCATATTATAGAAATGGAGAGTGTAATATAGTGGTGACATTCCTGC